TTCTGGCATTGTTGATTGTATGTGAAAAAAGTGATAGAGAATTTTTCCTTGACTGGGATAATAGGCCATGCTTGAACAATCACCACCTGGAAATTTTGTTAACCAAATATATTGTGATGGATGAAGCCGCTACTACGTGGTAGGAAATCATAACAAAGAATTGAAACTTGTATGTTTTCACCTTTCATTTGTAACTACCGTTACTGCAGTTTGATGTACAAGTTCGAAAATGTCTTTATAGGACGAAACTGCAGTAACGTTAATTACAAATAAAAGTGGTGTCATTCATATATTCATATTAATGACAAATAACTATGAGGTTGCATATTTTATTGACCGAAACTGTAACAATTATATAATGGCTATTCAGTTGAGCAGACCGAGTATGTTCATTGAACATATTTTCAAAAAGAGCAGGAAAAATCTTACAAATAACTAACGACCAATCGATTTGCTATCAGTAATATCAAAAATCATGAAGAAAGAAAGAAAGGAAGTCATGAAGAAAGAAAGAAAGTCAAGAGCTGTTGCGCTTGATATTTCTGAAACCTGCAGTGTGTAGCATGAGGGTTTGCTGGCCAAATTTGTATGCTATGACTTGTTAGATCATTTTTGTGTATGGTTCTCTAGCTTCCTGGAAGAACGTTCCCTGCCGGTGGCCGTCGATGGATATCTTTCGAATACTCCTACTATCAACGCTGGTGTTCATTACAAATCCATGTTGTCTTCATTCCTCTTTTTTATTGTGTATCAACGACTTATTGGAAAAAAGAATAATATAATATATTGCTTTGCTGTATCGACATTAGATTTCGATTCCAGGATTTCAGGATTCCGGCAGCAGGAGGTTGCCTATCTTAATATGCGGATCTAGAAGTGATTTCTAATTGGAGTGGAAGTAACCAGGTTCAATGCAATGCCACAAAAACCCAATCATCATTGGTTTTCTCCGAGAAGATAAATGTCTCCAAACTGGATATAATAATCTGGACAAACAATTCCGCTTCCTGCTCCTATGAGTTCGTTGTGGGCTAAAATGGATACCAATACATCTTGGCACAATCATGTCGCTGCAATAGCGAAGGCTGCTTCTCAAAAGCTTGAAACACTGTTCCGAACCAAAAAAATGTGAATATCTCAGCAACTTTTGATGCTTTATGAAGCTCAGATGAGACCTTCTTTGGAGATACTTTCATAGAAGGTCTTCAAATCACTTGGCAGATTTGATTCCACCAAGAGTGGTACATACCAGAAATACGCGACGGACTGTGGCTGCACATCGTCCTGAGGTTCAACTCAGTAAACCTCAAACTTCACGATTTAGAAACTCTTCCATTTGGGACTGAACTTCCTAGGAACGTTTTCCCAGATGAATTTAATCTCCAGCGATTCAAATCCAACATGAATCGCTACTTTCGCACAAGAACTTCTGCTAGAGCTCCACAAAGAGTTTCCTGTAGTGCTTGTGTTTTGTTAAAAAAAAAACAGGTGTCCCCCTTCCTGACATTTCAAGTGGATACTGACTCACATACCATCCTAAACCTCCCATTGAAATATGAATTCCGAACTCTTGCAGTTTTTTATCATCAACTTTCCTTTCATTATTATTCTCCCCCATTCGGGCCTTCTCAATTCATTTCTATAAGTTCAAGTCGTTTATACTCCAGAGATTTTTCTATTAAGCTTTCATTCGAACTTCTCGTCTGGATTTTTCCATTCAACATTGTTCGGCTCCATATACAATTCATAACTTACTGTAAGGAAAGAGATTATGTTGTTACTTTCCGTTGCAAAATTCAGGTTCGACGCAAAAAAATCACAAACTTTCCTGATAACCAACTGTTAACATTGATGAGCTGACTTTCTGTGTTTCAGAACAAAAAAGATGATCGACTACGCAGACACTTCTTTCACTTGTTTTTAGTCGACGCGAACTGAAAATATGTGCCGCTCCACCTCTTCACACCGTAAATTATATAAAAGTGCGAAAGCGAAAGAATCCATGATGAGGTTAGGTTTTTATAGTCTGATAATTTGTAGACAGCGGCGTTTTTGAACACTCAAAATGTGTTCGAACTAACGACTGTTGAAAAGCGTCTGGGTTTTTTAGAATAATATGGGCTCCCAACTTTTGAATCTGACGAGGGAATAGAAAACGTTAGAAATATGTCTAGCCAAGTTTATTATTCAGATGGGGTAATATACAGACAACTTGGAAACGATATATATCTTCTTAGTATATTCTAGAAAATGGATTCCAAGAATGATCTATAAAAAATAATAAGTCTATCCATCGATTCATTTTTCCAGTAGAATCATATTTTTGATTTTTGACAATGTTTCATGGCCATTGAAGAAGTAACAGACCGACAGTGAGTAGGAAACATCTGTTAACCAAAAACCCACCCACATGGGACACTATCTGAATCATGAATTAATCCACCATCAATCTACAAAAAAAGAAACCATCGAGATTCTAGTAGAAGGCCTCGAAAAGAAACTAGACATCATCAAAAAAGATCTTCAACGAAATAGTTACTCCAAAGTGATGGCGAAACATACTTTGGCTTGAAAGAATGAAAAGCCGTCAAAAGCATTGCTTGCCCTTCCTTCATCAGAGTATTGTAGAGAAGGATAAGTAGAAGAAGCTCCAAGATTCGGAAACAACATCCGTAGCAGCCTCACGAAAACCAGGCCACCAAACGCGGAATGCGATTCCAAGAATTGCATTTACCAGATAACCTGCGAGTTCGGAGAATTACACATCGGTGAAACTAATAGGCCGTTCAAAGTTCACATTGTCAAGCACAAGAAACACACACAGCGAGGGGAAACCAGCAAATCAGTAATAGCAGAGTAAGTTTTAGACTCATAGATACCATCAAGTGGGTTTAGGAGACACACACAACATATGGAAACCTATAATCAAGCGGAAAACGTTTTATCTTTTGAAACAAAACGAATAATATTTCTTTAGAACTTCGTGAGCCTGATTTATTTAACAATTATTTTTTGAATTTTGCCTTCTGGGAAGTAACTTGAAATTCTCATTTACTGAAATAACTAGTGATCATGTCTGGGATGCTCTGAAATCTCTGAAATCGCAGGCATTGGGTTTAGATAATATTAGTCTGAGAATGATGACAATTGAGTTGCCTTTCTGCATAGAGAAAGTAAAACACATTTTCAATGAATCCTTGAGAACAGGTACATTTCCTGAATTGTGGAAAATTGCCAATTTCATTCCGATACCTAAAATATACACACCTAAAAGTTTTAATGATATTCGTTCCATATGTATCTCACCTACATTTTCCAAACTTTTTGAAAAATACTTTCTCTACAGATCAGACAATAGTATCTTACCAGAAGTACAGTCTGGCTTTCGTTCGAAACATGATACACATACGGCTCTATTGAAAGTCATAAATGATATATGTACTTATGGTGATAAATGTATACCGTCGATCCCAGTTCTCCTGGATCAAAGCAAAGCCTTCGACCTTGTCAATTTTCAGCTTCTTCTTGCGAAATTAAAATTCATAGGATTTCAAGAAAGAGCTTTGGAATTAATGAATAGCTATATCCGAGGTCGATCACAAAAAGTAACGCTTGATAATAACCTGCTATGCTCAACCCTTAAATAAACTATTTCTGGAGTACCCCAAGGTAGTATTCTTAGGCCCTTATTATTTGTAATTTTCCTTTTTGATTTTCCATCATGTTCAAACTTTTGTCAAGTTCACCTATATGCCGACGATTTTCAATTACCTATATTCGTCTTGCGACTTGACTGATATAGAAAACCATGTGAGCATTATTAACAAAGATCTCCAAAACACTCAAGTTTATTTTGAAAAACATGGCTTGCGTATCAACCCAAACAAAACTGTTGCAATCTGCTTAGGCCCTCAGAGACAGACTTATCAGATCAAACAACATATTCTCAGAATGAATCAAACGGACATTGAATGGGTTGACTCAACGAAAAATCTCGGATTGATAATCGATCAAAATTTGAACTTCAATGACCATGTCCAAAATATATTTTAAATAGCGTTCTTCAAACTGAAATCACTTCAAAAATTTAAATATCAGCTATCAACCGAAATGAAACTTAAACTAGTCAAATCCCTCATCTATCCACATATAGAATACTGCATTTTGAATACAAGCATTTTGAATGCAACGCATTTTGAATGCAACGCATTTTGAATGCAACGCATTCAAAATGCTTGTATGCGTTTTGTTTGCTGTGTACCTTATAGAGAGCACATTACTCCTTTTCTGATAGGATTGAGAGAATTAAACATAAAGTGTAGAATGGAATATCTGATCACAATATTTCTTTTTAAACTCATCAAAAACAAAATAACCCTGTATTTTTAGAGCTTATAGTACGTCGTTCTAATATCCGTAGCATCAATACCAGGTTCAATAATTTCAACATTCCAAACCATGTCACATCTAAATACGAAGAATGCATTTCCTATCTGGCACCGTTGTTCAGGATAATTCCTCTCCTGAATTCATCTTTATATGAAGTGAAACATCATTTGAAACCAACTTTGTTGACCAGCGTGGAGTAATGTATTTTAGTGTAGTGTTTTCCTTTACTTTTCTGCAAATTGAGATGTATTTATCATATTCTTTCTTTTAATTTTGCCGCTGAAGAAAATTGAATTATATTAGGTAATTACCTTCTTGCTCATAAATGTTATTTGTATTACTTAGCAGGAGGGGTGAAAGATAGCCATAGGCTAACCCCCACCTTTTGTGTGTAATTTATGCACAATGAAGCTATTATTATTATATTATTATTAAAATAGATATTGGTATAAAGAAATATTTCAGCTATTCATTTTAATTTTATTTGTTCTTCCATTATTCAATGGAATTCCGAACTGACGAAATTCGATATTTTTGATGTTAGATCAAAATTCTATGGATGTCATTGTTTGCAACATTGTCATTGTTTGTAACATTGTCATTAAACTCACCCGTAATTCTTCGAAAATCATAGAAATGACTCATGAGCTGCTGCATCAGCTTCAGGAACTTTCACCTCTTCCCCGTCTGCCTCGATATACTCCACACCTTCTTCGTATTCCGTATGGCACCTGTTGATGTGATGATCCGGATCTCCATATTGGCTGTGGTAAAACTCTTCCCTCATCATGTTGTTCAGGCTACCGCATTGACAGTATAAAATTGCCTGAAATAATAGTTAATCTTATACCAAAAGTACTGAAGAATATTGAATACTGCATGCACATATCTATTATTCACGTTTCAACGATAATAAAATGACACTTATAATGTAATCGGTACGATCAATCAGCCTTACATCCTTCCTGTTGAAAGGACTCGAGAGGATACTGGACGGACATATCAGGAGGGTAGCATTATATGCATCCCCCCTGAATAACCACCAGTATGATTATCAAACCGGCAAATCGACAATCCCTTGACAACAAGCAGAATGCGGTTGCTGTATTTCTTGATATTGAAAAAGCATTTGACAATGCACTACCCAAATCTTTAGGAATGTATTTGGCTAGGAAGGGTATAGAATCGCCCATAATTGGCTGGATCTATGCCATGCTAGTGAACAGAACTGCAATCACGACTCTTCAAGGTCCTCGCAAGGTCCACGTCGGGAAGGGTAGCTTGTAATATCCTCCGGAGCGCATTGGAAGTTGTTCACAGTTGCTGCTTGAGGGAGCCACTTTCCCTCGAAGGTGAAATCATTCCATTTGGAATGCAGGTGAAATATCTTGGCATTGTCCTTGATAAAAGACTCACCTGGAACGCACACTTGGAAAAAGTTTTACACGAAGCCAGACTGTCTCTATGGACATGTCGAAGGATTTATGTGATGATTGTCAGACCAATGATCACTTATGGTGCAATTACCTGGTGGCCGAAGGCTTTACAGAAAACGGCTCAAGCGCAGCTCTCTGGCTTATAGAAACAGGCTTGCCTGGCTATCAGTGGTGTCATCAGTACCACACCGTCAGCGGCCATGGAGATCCTTCTAGATCTACCTCCTCTCCACATTTTTCTGGAGACAGAGGCTAGATGGACTGCACACAGACTTGTGCACATTGTTAATTGTACAAATCAATTCAATGCAGAGTGCAACAGACTGTTGGTTGACATTGGAAGTCACAGCATTCTGGAAATGACCTCTGACTTTATGCCTCCAACTGTGAACTACGAACTGCCTTATGAAGTACTATTCCCGAGAAGAGAGGACTGGATCCTCCGGGAGAAGGAAATATTAAGAGCAGATAGTTATTGGTTCGCAGAGGGATCAAAAACACATACGGGTTCTGGTGGAGGCGTTTTTAGTCGCAGACCCAGGACAGAGATATCTACCTGCCTAGGAACTTATGCAACTGTATTTCAAGTAGAAATCTACGCTACTGAATTGGAGAGTCAAGGGGCGTTGGTAGCTCTTGGCTCCTACCGAGCAACGTCTGAATTGGAAGCAAATTGCAAAAAACGATTGTCCTCGATAAGAAGACTCAACAGATTGTCTCTGGTATGGATTCCTGGCCATACTGGCCTGTAAGGCAATGAAGGCTCTGACTCCTTTGCAAAGGAGGGTGCTGCAAGCAGCTTCTTTGGACCAGGACCTGTTATTGGCATCGCTTCAGGCTTTGCCAAGCAAACATTGAACACCAGGATGGCAAGAAGATTTATGGACTCCTGGCAAAATCTTCGAGGATTGGCTCACTCCAAGGCGTTTATTCTCCCTTCGAAGCTTGATACCTAACAGTTGTTGGACTACAGTAGGGATGAACTACAATGTCTAACAGGCCTTCTTACAGGTCACTGTCATTTCAATCATCATATGCAGAGACTTGCACTGTCGGAAGACAGTGTGTGTCGCTTCTGTTTGGAAAATGATGCAGAGCATATGCCTGCCCCGCTGGGGACTGAATCAGTTTCTTAGAGATCGGCAGAGCCGTACTCTTACCATCTGACCTGAAAGACCACTCACCATACAAACTAATTGGCTTCGTTAAGGACCTGGGTTTATTTGGTCGAGTGTGAATAGATGCAAGCCACCTATTCACAAACGGGTTGTGATTGAGGGTCGAATAGACCCACTCACTTCAGACCTAACTTAATGTTTCTGATGTAATTTCGTTGCAAGCACTTTTTTTCCATTCACGAAACTGGAAATTGACTGTGGTCGTGTCTCGTACACTTCAGATATAACAAAATGTAGAGGCGTCATATCAGGTGATTTAGTTGGCCCACCTGTCTATCTACCGGTTTGGATAACTTACAATCTTACAAGAGTTCTGAACTGATGTTTTATTTCAGCAAAAAGAGGTACCTCTTCATTGCAACAAGCTGTTTCAGGAGTGGCTATGTTAGTACTGTTGATAGTCAAGAACGGGTAACATGGAGGTGAATGTGCAGTTACGCTTGATTAATGTGTATACTGCTTAGATTGGCTATCAGCACACCGACTTTTATCATAATATGCTAATGTGAAGTGGTATTCAGAAAGCAAAATGAAATTACCAGGACCACTCGGAATCCAGATATGATATGGGATAAAAATCGACATGGAACCTCATGTAACGTCTTCACAAAAATTGAACAAAGAATATCCTGCCTACACCGTTGAATTTCAGTAGAACATGCAATCATAAAGATGAAAGTCTCACCTGGAACGGTTTCCTGAAGTCTCTATTGAGCGTGGCGTAGATAATCGGATTGAGCAAGCTGTTGGCGTAGCCCAACCATAGGAACAACGTAGCTAACGTCTTGAGAGCGTTCGTGGTTTCGAGAAAGGGCCTCACTAGGGCCAGCACGAAAAAGGGCAACCAGCAAAACGTGAACGCGCTCATTATTATACCGAGCGTCGTGCTCGCCTTGCGCTCCTTTGCCAGTTGAAACCTCAACTTCTTCTGGTGGCTGTTGGTGCTTGGAGAGGTTTTGATGGTCGTAAGGAAGTTGGATTTTTTTTGTTTCTGATGTTTGGCGTGCTGCTGCATGGGCGGCTTGGAGGCCAGCATGGGGCACTGCGATTCGTTGCTGTGTCTCGACTTGAAGCATCGGCCCAGGGGGGTTCTGTCGAAGCTGTACTGTAACAAAAATATGTAGGTGGTGTGAGTGGTTCAAACGGATCGATGTTACAGAATATATTTTTTTCTGTTGAACAACTTCGAAAAGGAACAGATGTTTTGAATAACTAAACTTTTCTTGTGTAAGCTGTGAACAGCTTCAGAAACACAACTTTCCTTCGATTCAGATTAGATTACTAAAATTTTTATTGTATTCATTTTATTGTATATCAACGACTTATCGAAAAAAACCAAGAATCCAATATATTGCTTTGCTGACGCAAAACACTTGTCTCGTCATTTTATTCGGATTCCAGGATGCACATCTTCATTGACAGCAATAGGTTGCATATTTTAATGAGGATCTAGAAGTGAATTTGAATTGGGTTGAAAGTAACTAGGTTCAATTCAATGCTGGAAAAACCTAGGCAACGGTTTTCTCAAAAAAGATAAAAGTCTCCGGACCGGATATAATGATGTCAGGACAGACAACTCCGCTTTCTACTTCTATAAGTTTGTTGGGGTTGAAATGGACACTGATATGTCTTGGCACAATCATGTCGCTGGAATTGCAAAGGCTGATTCTCAAAAGCTTACAAAACTGTTCGGAACCAGAAACCACGTCAGCAACTTTTGATGCTTCATAAAGCTCAGATCAGACCTTCTTTGGAGTATTTTCTTATGTATGGACTTCCGCCCCTAAGCTTACCCTGAAGCTGCTGGATTCCATCCAGAAAAGATAGTCTGGGACATCGAGGAAAAGTTGGAGATTTGTCTCTCTTCTATAGATACTTTCACGGAAAGTTTTCAAGTGACTTGGCACAGTTGATTCCACCAAGAGCGGTACATATCATAAATATGCTCATCGTTTTGAGGTTCAACCCAGTAGATTTAGAACTTCACTGTTCATGAACTCTTTCACTTGAAGAACTGCGTTAATGTAGAATAAACTTCTTGAGAATGTTTTTCAGAAAGGATTCAATCTTCATCGATTCAAATTCAATGTGAATCGCTACTTTCGCACAGGCACCGCTCTTAGAGCGGTTTGAGGATTTTTCTGTAGTGCTTGTGTTTCGTCCTTCAGATGTCATCTACATGAATCCTCATAATAATAATATAATAATAAATGTGCTTTGTTTATTGACATACATTGTTTATAAAGAAGAAATAAATACAAAAATCAATGAAAGGGCGAAGTTAAGTCGGGGCTATTTTACAACTTAACCTAGGGGATAGCATGTATTATATAGAAATATAAAAATAATTACCTGGTATACATTGGTAAGTGAGTAGTAAATGAATCTTTGTGAAACTAAGAAAAAACAAAAGCTATTAATTCCAAAGTAAATATTAAAAATCTATTTAGCTTAAATAAGGTAAAATATATAGCAAAACAAACACAAAGGTGAGACACAGCGAAAACCATATGAGCAAGACATAACATGAATATGTTATCTATCCAGAAGACTTCAGATATGTTTCCAACTTTTTCTTGAAATTATATATGGAGTAGTGTCTAAATTCACTGGGCAGAGCGTTATATTGTTTGATAGAGTTGTAAATAAAACTACGAGAGAAGCAGGCTGTCGAGTGTTTTGGAATAATAAAATTTGTGACGGTTTCGTGTCCTCGGATTATTCTGTGATTCGAAAGTTTTATATCTTTCATAAATATAAATTGGCTTTTTGTAAATGAGGAATTTATGTGTATTGACGAGTAGGTGGAACTGCCAGGATTTAGCAATCGGTAACCAACCTGACTCCTCGAACTTAGGGGATATATGGTCGAATTTTCTCACACCATAAGAAAGACGAATGCAATTGTTTTGTATTTTTGTAAGCGATCTACATCAGTTTGTATCAAAGCAGACCCGTAGATTATATCGCAATATGCTAATCTAGACAATATGAGTGTTTCGCAAAGTTTCAACCTCAATTTGGGAGTCATAATATCTCAACTTTGATAGAGTCAACTTAACGTAAGATACTGTATGAGCTACGACAAAGTGAATTTATATGTTTGTGAAATCTCAGATCAACATCTAGTCATAAACCCAAGTTCTTGTTTTCTGTAATTGTTTGTAGTAAGTCTGGTCCAAGTTGGATTTCAATTCTTCCTTCAATTTCCTGTCTTTTGTGTTTCTGGCAAAAAGTATCAGCTGAGACTTTTTAGAATTTAATTTCAGGTTATGAGCTATACATAGATCCAATAACTTTTGTAGATCGTTGTTAATTTTTTCCATTGCCACCTGCCAGTTACTTGGAGAAAATCGATAATATAACTGGGTGTCATCTACATAATGATGAACTGTGTCAGATATCTATAGAGAGAACAGAATTGGACCAAGGATAGAGCCCTGAGGTACCCCATAATCAACAGGTAAAGTACTAGAACACATTCCATCCAGACATACTGACTGAGTCCGACTTCTGAGGTAACTTTTCAATAGATCTACTGCCCCTTCACTAAATCCGATATATGACATTTTCCTACACATAATATTGTGGTCTAATGTATCGAATACTTTACTGTAGTCCAAGAGTACCATGGCAGTTGCTTCATTATTATCAGTTGCTTTGAATAAATCTTGGGTGATGTTGACAAAAGCGGTGGTGGTGCTACAGAATGTACGAAATCCAGAATGAACATTGGTTAATAAATTATTATTGTGTACAGAAGAAGCAATTTGATCTCGAACACCTAAGATAGGATAGGCAGTTTGCTAATTGGCCTTAAATGAGATAATTCAGTTGGATTTTCACAATTTGGCAACGAAAGTACAATTGCATGTTTCCATGCAATCTTCGACTAGCGATTCAGTTCACTCAGAATGTCTGCCGCAGTAGCATGCTTGTCGAGTGGTATAAAAACCGCCAGACCACGGCTAATAAATCCGGCAACATCGGACAATTTGTTAGACACCGACATTGAAAGCCTACATATCATTGCCTATCTTCTGTTTCTATTTCAATATTAAACTCAAATAAGGATTGGATTTTCAAAAATTTGTTCTTCAAAGAAATATTACAAAAAAATTCAACTCGGGCTTCTAGGACTCGTCTTGTTCCAGAATTTTGACTTCTCGTGAAAAACAGTATTTTTTGTACTTGTTCTGTTTCGAAAAAATTCAACCCACTACGGTTTTTCTCACTCCAAGGTCTCTCGGAGTTATTATCAAACATGATGCTCAAGTATTCAATGTATGTTGAAATTTCAATATTTTTTTGCACCATATATTGTTGATGAACCTGAAAAATTTTGTCGGAGTTGAAAACTTATATTTGAATTGACATGAATAAATTATAGTCCTTTATATTCGTGAATAAATAACTACTTTCGACCAAAAAACAATTTTGCTACTCGTCAAAAATTGAGAACGTCAAAATCCAAACAATTCTGCAAACGACTTGGTATGACCCGGCTTGAATTAATGCAGCGAATTCAGACATGTTATTCACAGTTACCTGAATAATTCGTCGGAAAATACTAATAGAATTGCAGATTTCTTGAAGACGTGTTTTCGACATCTACTATTCATTTATGCACAGTCATTTTATCTTGAGATATTCTGCCTTGAAACAAACTGTTTTTACAAGACATTAACGTACCGAATGAATTCTGAGCTATTCTCAGAAATAGTTACTGAAGTCGGAATGATTCGAAGATTTTCTTGAGACGAGTTATTCACAAAAATAAATATGTATCCAAGTATTTTTATTTCAATACACTACTAGCTGTTCCCCGCTGTTTTACTCGCATCACCGTGTAAACCTACCTTATGTACCATTCCAGGTCATGATCTATCTGTATACCAATTACATTCATCTATCCTCACAAACTCACAAACCTCACAATTTGAAGCTGAGCAATGCACCAGTTATATACCAATAAAAGGAAACCAAAAAAAAGGAAAGATTGAATATCTACATCTTTGATCAAATCGATAAATAAAAAAAATAGTATGTACCTACAACTCAAAAACAACCCAAATAATTCACGACTCAAAGCTGGGTATAAGAATTACAAAAACACGCTTGAAAAGACAATAGAAAAAAAAATGCATACTATAAAAGAAAAATTAATGAAAACAAGAATAATGCTGCCAACCTGTGGCGAAACATAAATGAAATGTTTGGTGAAGATCAAAAAAAGTTGAAATAAATTCCATAAAAAATGAAAATGGAAACATGGTTAATGATATGAATGAAATTGTAGACATTTTTAACAGTACCTTTATCAACACAGGAAAAGGTAGAAGCCAAGACTATCATAGACTATCAAGACGCTTGACTATCATAGAATATTTTTATTGACTTGTGTATGAGGTTGGATTCTTTCAATCTCTCCGCACATAATTCAATAGCGTACATTTCCGCTTGAAATGCAGTCGCATAGGTTTATAGGCAGGTTAATATCTCTTTCCTGGGTCTGCGACTCAAAACACCTGCACCAGAATGTGTTTTTGATCCATCTGTGTACCAAACACTATCTGCTCTTCTTCTCCCGGAGGATCCAGTCCTATAAGGCAGTTCGTAGTTGACAGTTGAAGGCATAAAGTCAGAAGTCATTTCCAGCCAAAGCTACTGAACTTAGAGTCTTGAAAAATGCAGGTAGGTTCTTTGTATAGCCTCAATAAGCATCAAGACACATAATCATGAAAATGTCTGTTCAAGAAACTGGGTATAATTATTTCCATTCAATCTGTCTGGTGAGAAGTAAATCAAAATTGATTATAATTGATAATTTCAGCACATACATTCACAAAAAATTGGTACTGGTGGTGATTGTTCATAATGACATGCCGGTTTTCTTCAGCCCAGAAATGTTATTGTGGAAATTCCTTGAGGCGTTTCTGGAAGTTTTAGTTTCTACCGTCAATAGAATTCTGACGTCAAATTGAGGAGCAACAATTTAAAGAAATTGGCAGAAAATCATTCACAATGGGAAATCAAGAAGAGCCTGGACTTGTTGATTATGATGAGGATATTGCAAATAATCATGGAGAATGTTCATGTTCTGGT